GGCACCTCTCTGTTGGAGAAGACGATAGCTGTGCCGTGAACCCCTCTAGCCCACACAATGGAAGGTGTTTTTAGAGTAATTAATTCAAGGGTCAATATTTGAAGAGAAGAGGAATGGAAATTTTAGGTCAAACAAAACGTGCAAAGTGCATCTGGGAATTCGAAGGAATGCTTTCCTCTGGTAGAAAAGCCAAATATTAGGTCTGCTAACACACATCTATGTTCTTTTCAGAGTTGGAGGAAAGAACGTTTCCGCGCCGGTGAGTCACCCTCTGTCCATCTCAGAACGTGTCTGCTCCCCGTGTTTGGGCTCAGCCTTGGTACAGTGGGTAAAGGAGGGCTGGGACAGATGCATGTCCGAGTGTCCCCTCCCCTTCCAGCCCCAGCCATCTTGGTCTGCAGAGGACTCCTGCGTGCTCCATCTGGCTGAGTGTCTCAGAGATCAGAGCGATGGTTTCTTCACAGTGACTGTAACTCGGGGGCCCAGACACACCCTAAACTCATCTTATCTAAAGAGGGACACGTGACCATGGGGAACCTCAGATCTAACCTCAGACTGGCTGAAATTCTACTCCCGGCCCTGAGAGCTGGGTCAGCAGGCCTTTACCTCAGGGTAGTGGTACTGGGAGGTGGTGGTCAGGAGCTGCGAAGCCTCGGTCCTGGGAGTGTGTGCATGTGACCAGGAATGGGAAGACTAGCGTAAAACTGCAGGATGGCTTCTCGGCCACCAAGCTCTCTGAGGGCACGTACTGGGCAGACACCTCTCCAGAGAGTCTGTTCACGGTAACTGAGTGAGTCTGCCAGAGTGTGTCTTCTTGAAGCACAAGGATGGGCGTGTCTCATTCAGCATGACGGACAAAACTCAGATTCACAGCTTTGCCCAGGCTCCTTTGATGGGTCTCTGAGACCTGATTTATCAGGCTGGCTATGGTCTTTGTCTGTCCAGCTCCTCACCCAGCACAGCTCAGAGACACCCTTCACAGTGTTCCCACATCTGTGGTGGGCTATTTGGTCACACTGTAAAGCTCAAAGACTGTATTAATAAAATTAACTTTGGATCAATGGGCGGAGTCAGTGACCAGTTGACAGGAATTAACCATAGAGAGGACCGAGAAGCCAGGAATGTGGACGGAGAGATACACAGGAAAGAGTAGGGAGGGGCTTGAAGATTCACAGTCTTTCTGGTTTGGGATGAGTGCAGAGATGCTTCTCTTTGCAGCCAAACAACAGGATCAGCTGCTTGCTGCTCAGCCTCTCTGATCCAGCCTGGCTTTCACCCCAACATCTGACTCAGTTAAAACCTACATTTGGTGGCTGTGGCTGACCAGGGCCAGCGGCACTAGAAATCCCACGAGGCTGTGGTCTGAGCAGTTGGGTGCTAACAGCAGGGTCTGGGGTGGGGGTTGGAGATGGGAGTTAAAATATCAGTAGATTCAGGTGCAGCCTCTAAACTGAAAGAAAAACAACATGGGGGATCGTGTGCCCTGCAGGCCAGGGACGCCTGAAGCCGCTGCTCTGGAGAAAGTATTCCTACCTAAACAAATCACCTCCTCTATCTCATCCTATCATTTTTCTTCTGATCTCATCTCCTTCATACAGTTTTTACCCCAAAATATAATGAGCTTTAAAAAAAAAAGAGGGGGGCTTCTCATGGTAATTACACATTTGTAACACACAGACAAATTACATATGTGTAATACATACACACAATCTAATCACACATAACACAATTGTTACCATAAAATGATACAAGGAGCTAAATATCCTGAAACAGTGCCAGATGTTTAAATATTGGACAATATAGTAAGAAGGATTCATTTTGGATGTTTTTATCTGTGGGCTTCATGTGACCTTTATAAAATAATCTGCATGAAATAAAGAGAAATTAGATCCAGAATAAATGTGGAGGCCAGAAGGGAACCTCAGTGTCCTCCTGAGGAACACCGTTCAGCCAGTTTAAGAAAGGGTCTCTCACTGCCCTAATCTCACTGACTCAGCCTGACAGAGAGCCCAGGGTGCTCCAGAGATAGGTCTCGACCTCCCCAGCACTGGGGTTTAACCTGTGCCACACCCAGCATCAGAACAAGAGTTCTGGGACCCGACTTTGTCACCGTGTTTGTGAGGCAACGGTTCCATCGACTGAGCCAGATCCAAGCTACTCAATATGTCCTTTTAGAAAGAGTCGGAACTATTTGGGATGTATAGAATTATTCTAACAGACAAGGAAATGTAAAACATAAGCTTAATTTATTCCCTACACATTATCTGCTTTAGGCATAAACCGTGTCTTACTGCGAGTCGTTCCTTTCCTTCCTATTCCCTCGCCAACTCTATGAAACAGGTGATTTCCATTCCTGGTTTACGTGAGGAAACAGTGAGCAGATATCTTAGCGTTACTGTTACGCTGGTGGAACACCATGACCACAGCAACATGAAGAATAAGGGTTTCTTTCACTCACCCTTCACTGTTACAGTGTCTCAGGGTTCGCAGTGCTGTGAGGAGACACCGTGACCACAGCAACTCCTATCAAGGACATTTAACTGGGGTGGCTTACATTTTCAAAGGCTCAGTTCATTATCATCATGGTGGGGAAACTTGGTGGCCTGCAGGCAGACACGGTGTTGGAGATGCAGGTCTGAGAGTCCTACATCTTGACCCACAGGCAATAAGAAGTGAACTGAGTACTGGGTGTGTCTTGAGTATACAGGAGACCTCAAAGCCTGCCTCCATAGTGACTTGGTTACTCCAACAAGGCCACACCTCCTAATAACACCATTCCCTGTGAGCTTATGGGAGCCAATTACCACATTCCACTCCCTGGCCCCATAAGTACGTAACAATATCATAATGCGAAATGCATTTAGCCCAACTTCAAAAGTCCCCATAGCCTATCACAGTCTCAACACTGTTTTAAAGTTCAAAGTCTCTTCTGAGAGTCATGCAATTCTCCTAACTGTAATCCCCTGTAAAATCAAGATAAAATGAAGATCACATACTTTCAACATTTAATAATACAAGATATCCATCATTGTTCCAAAACGTGGGGGAAGAGAGCATAGTAAGGAAATACTGGACCAAAGCAAGACTGAAGACCATCTGGGCAAACTCCAAACCCTGTGTCTCCGTGTCTGATGTCAAAACGCTCTTCAGATCTCCAACTCCTTTCAGCTTTGTTGACTACAGCACACTTCTTTCTCTTGGGTTGGTTCCACTCCCTTTCCTCTGCAGTACCCCATGGCTTTGACATCTCCAATGTCTTGGGGTCTCCGAGGCAATCCAGGTTTCTCCTTCACAGTTTTATGCAATGAAGTCTCTAAGCTTCCATGCAGAGAAAACCCTGACACATGCCTAGCCTCTGCTGCTTTTCCTAGTAATGGAGAAATAGTCCATAGCCCCTTTCTTCTTTCCTTAACTCTAAAGCCAGAACCACACGGCTGAAGTTGCCAGGTTCTGATGCTTACTGGAGCTGGAACATGGCCCCCTCCTTCACCAGCGTTCGTTTTTGATGGTTTCCTTCACTGCCTAAACTTTTCATTTTCTTCACTGCCTAAACTTGGTACTTTTCATTGTAAATCTTCATTAGAACTAACACCAATAACCACATGACAGAGTCTATACTATAGGCTGTTTTGAGATTTCCTCTGCCAAGGGAATTAATGCAAAACTCTTCACTTAAGCCTTAGTCAGACTTTTTTGGCCAAGAGCAAAAAGCAGCCACATTCTTCAAAATATCACAACACTCTCTAGGTCACATATTAATATTCTCCTCTGAAACCTCTTGGGCCAGGCCCCACAGTTCGTCAAATCACACTCAGCACCGCTGTCTTCCATGCTCCTGCTAGTGTGACCCATAAGTAGCACTCAAAGCATCCAACTGCTTTTCTAACCCACAGCCCCAAGTCCATACTCCTTCAAACCAAAGCTGGCCAGGCCCATCACAGCAATCCCCCGCTCCTGGTACCAACTTCTGTCTTAGTTAGGGCTTCTATTGCTGTGAGGAGACACCATTACTACGGCAACTCGTGTAAGGGAAACATTTAATGGGGGCGGCCTACATTTTCAGAGGTTTAGTCCATTATCACCATGGTGGGGCATAACGGCGCACAGACAGACATGGTGCTAGAGAAGGAGCTGACGGTACTAAATCTTGACCTACAGCAGCAAGAAGTAAACTGAGTCACTGGGTGTGGCTTAGGCATAGATAAGATTTCAAAGCCTGCCTCCACATTAATGTACTTTCTCCAACAAGGCCACACCCACTCCAACAAAGCCACATCTCCTAATAGTGCCACTCCCTGTGAGCTTGTGGGGGCCAATTACATTCAAACCACCACACAGTCCATTCATGAAGTCAGGACAGGAACTCATGTAGGGCAGGGACCTGGCAGAGGAGCTGTTGCATGAACAGGAAGCCATGGAGCAGAGCTGCTTACTGGCTTGCTCCCTCATGGCTTTCTCCACCTCCTTTCTTACAGACCCAGGACCACCAGCCCAGGAACAGCACCTCCCACCCTCAACCATCAACCGCTAATTAAGGAAATGTCCTGCAGGCTTGCCTATTGCTCAGTCTTACGTAAGCATTTTCTCAGTAGAGGTTCCGTCCTCTCTGATGATTTAGATTATGTCAAGTCAACATGAAACTATCCAAGACAGCCGGTATTGCGGCAGTAATTGGCTGCCTAGACCCAAAACAGTCACACAGAAACTGTATTAGCTACAATACTGTTTGGCCAATAGTTTAAGCATATTTCTAGCTAGCTTACATCTTGAATTAACGGATTGCTATTAATCGTCATGGCCTACCAGCAAGGTTTCAGCAGTATCCGGCGGGCATCTTTCTCCTTCAGCAGCTACATGGCGGTCTCCCTGACTCCGCCTTTCTTTCTCCTCTATCTCTGCTTAGAATTCCCACCTTGCCCTATTCTGCATTGCCATAGGCCAAAAGCAGCTTCTTTATTAACCAATGACAATAAAACATATTAACAGCATACAAAGGGGAATCCCACATCATAGATGGGCTCAGATGCACCAGGTGAGGGGCAGGTGGAAATGGGCTTACTTCTGTCCCAGAGGATGCCAGGCTGAGGCCAGGGGCTGGACAGGGAGCATACGTCTATAGAGTCCAGAGCCAGGAGAAGGCAGGCAGGTCCTGGGGAAGCACTGTCAGTGGGGGAACTTGAGCCCAGAAGGAAAAGATTTAATGATATGAAGACAAAAGAGCTCCTTCCTTCAGCCTTGTCACCTAGGCTCAGCTCAGGAGTCCTGCAGAGCACAGGGGACAGTGGAGTTTCCAGACCGAACTCTGCAGTGTCTTCTCTCCCCGCTCAGGCTTCCCTGACAGTGTGGTGGTGAGCAGAGAGAACGTCTCAAGTTCCAAGTCTGCGCTGCTTCACAGCACAGTCCTGAACAGAGAACAAGCCTGTGCAGAAACAAGGCTCTCAGAGCAAACTCCCTGGTCAGGCCCTAGGGTCTCTATCTTCCCCTGTGTGTCTGCCTGGTGTCCCTCACACCCCACCCCACACTGTAGGGAAGGCAGATCTGTCTCTGAGGGAAGACTGAAGGTTGTTACCTGTCGGCTGGAGTCCAGACTGTCCTAGAGAAGAGAGTAAAACAGACACTAAGTGCATGGAGGCAGACCTGTCCCCAGACACCTGTTCCCATAGGTTGAGCTGCCATCACAGGGCAGGGCCGAGGGGAGTGTGGACAGAGAGAAGGGGCTCAGGAAGCCTCAGGCACACCAGACCAGTGGCTCTTCCTTCACTCTTCCTCTGTTCCCAGTTCTCAAGTTAGAACCAACTTAACTTTCCCATCTCCATCTTTCATCAACCCTTAGGGTTCAATCTAGTAACTTCAGACTGTTGGGTTCAGGGTCCATTGACACCTGAGACCACAGCACCAATGACATTCTAAGAACAAAGTCATGTCTCTTCTCTGAAATGCTATGGAGTCTTGGCCACCACCAGGCTCCTTACCTTCTGGTTCCTGAAGTAGATGAACAGCCCCAGCCCGAGGAAGAACAGACCCAGCACGAAGAACCCGACTCCACTCAGCATCTTGTTCTGTGCAGATGAGGACTGAGCCCCTGAGAAGGGAAGTCAGGTTTAGAGGTTTTTATCCCAAATCTTGCATCCACTTGGGACCTTGAGATTCAGAGCTTTGAGACCGAGAAAGAAGCCTGTTCTAGGGGATCTAGACTTGAACACTCCTGGTGATGTTTGGAAGCAGTCAAACAGCAAGAGGTTCCCAGCATGAAGAGATTTAATATGACCACCCTGAGCTGAGCTGACAGGAAGCCTCTGAGCTCTGAGGATGCACAGTCCTGAGGGTGACAGAGCTAAGCAAAGGCAGAGCTGAGACTGGACGTCCCTGAGGTCAGCCATGACCCTGCGCTGCTCCTTGTCCATCATCTCCATGAGCAGCAGCAGAAACACAACCCAGCCAGAGGCAGAGGCTGCAGCCAGGGGAGGACAGTGCAGAACCAGTGGAAATAGTGTGTGGACAGAGAGAGTTGACAAACAGTAAGCCAGGCTCCCTTCCATGTGGGTGAGGATTAAGCAAGGTCAGGAAAACTGACAGGCAGGGGTAAGCCACGTCCCCCCAGGTGGGCGGGGATTCTCAGGGTCAGGAGCTTCCCACTCACTCCACTCCACTGTGACAGGGCTGGTCAGGCTGGGATGCTCCACGTGGCAGGTGTAAACCTCTCCACTCTGAGGAACCGTCTCCAGCATCACCAGGGTCTGGAAGGTCCAGTCTCCATTCCGGATCAGGCCTGTGGACGCGACCCCAGCCTTCTCCTCCTGGCCATTCCGGAACCATCTGACTTCAATCTGGCCAGGGTAGAAGCCTCTCACAGAGCAGACCAGGAGGTTGTGGTGCTCCAGAGGCTGCATCTTTGCCGGGTACACAGTTACCACAGGCTCAGCTAGAGGAGAAGGGGAGGTGAGAATAAGTCAGGGCAGAGCTGTCCTCCCTGGTTGGGGACCTGTCTGCCTCCATCAACCCAGGCTGAAGTCCAGACAGGCCTCCAAACCTTCCCATGACATTAATCCTGATCACAGGGCCATTAGATCTGAGGAACCCTAAGGTTTCATTTTATACCTCAGACAACTTTTCATTATTGAGTTAAAATATTTCCAATTTCTACAATACATTGTGTTAATAACAGGGAAGAAAAATATTTCTCCTCCGTTGTATGGTTCCTGTAGACTGAAGGCCATAGCTAACAGGCCAGGAAAAAAAAATTTCTGCACTGCCATCCTGGTCTGGAAAGCAGTCCTCAGAACAGCAGAATATTAACACACTTCCACTTTATACTCCAGTTTCTCCAGAGATCAGGCCCCAGAGCGGCAGGCCCCTACTGGAGAAGCAAGCCCAGCCCTTCTCCCTTGCAGCTCCATGGCACTGTTTATGGTTCTGTCTAGACCACCCACTGCAGGAGTCATGGAAGCTAAGCCAGGCTGTATCACACACTGTGGAACTGCACACCTGTGCTGGCTAGCCCACATCAACTCAACAAGCGGTATCTGAGGGGAGGGGGCCTCGGTTGAGAAAATGCCTCCACAAGATAGGGCTGTAGGGCATTTTCTTAATTAGTGATCAATGGGGTGTGGGAACGCAGCCCACTGTGGGTGGTACCACCTCTGGGCTGCTGGTCCTGGGTTCTGTAAGAAAGCAGGCTGAGCAAGCCATGAGGAGCAAGCCCCTCCCTGGCCTCTGCATCAGCTCCTGCCTCCAGGCTCCTGCCCTGTGTGAGATCCTGTCCTGCCCTCTTCCATGAAGAACATGGATGGTGTATAAGCCATCACAGCCATAGTCACCCAGACTAGGAAACTGCTTCTACCTGGAAATCTCTAAAAGTCAGATATTCCCTTTAGGGGCATGGAGGCTTCTCCTTCAGGTTCCCATCACACATGGCCACTGTTTTTCCTGACATCCGCGGTCACAGGTGCTCCCCTAATGATGCTCTTCTGAGGGTAATTCTGCCTTGGCTCCCTCTTGAGCCGGCGGACAGTTCACAACCCTCCCACTGTCGACTCGGTGTAGCTCAGTGGCTGGTGCTACTACACTCGACCTCTAAATTCCCGCAGATCCTAACAATTGCCACGGCATCAACAAATGATCCCAAAGAGTCTCTTATGTCTGAACTTTCTCTGCTCTCACTTCCAAAAGTCTAACCCTAAGACTGTTCTACTTTCCACTCCTGAAAATCTTTTATCGTCATGACTAACTTCTGCTCAAAACAAAAGAAAAATCTCTAAAACCTATTGTGCAAACTTTAGGATTTATGAGTTTTGGGGTGTGGTTAAAATTCTGCAAAATATGGAACAAAAGGCTTAAAACTTGTAACAAAGCGTTGATGCTTTTAAAAATATATACATGTGCAATCATAATTCACTATGTGTAACTGGGATTCAACTCTTGTTTAGGAAGGTGGATGTTTTTAAATAGCAGCCCTGAGAGTCGCCTCCATATTGGCTGATGGCCTCATCAGGATGGAAACAACCTTGTGGCTGGCGGCAAACTGTTCTAAGGCTAAAAAAGAGTCCATGCCATGGACCTCACCACCATCTTGATTAAGATGACCAGGTGGTATAAACCAACTAAGGCGGCATTCATAAAACTTCTTAGTCTACTGAACGAATCCTCTGCTTATCGTATCTCCCTTTTACACCAAGGAGGCAACAATGGGGCTCTAAAATATTTTGGATTATAGTGGATTTTTTTTTTTAAGACAGGGTTTCTCTGTAGCTTTGGAGCCTGTCCCGGAACTAACTAGCTCTTGTAGACCAGGCTGGCCTCGAACTCACAGAGATCTGCCTGCCTCTGCCTCCTGAGTGCTGGGATTAAAGGCGTGTGCCACCACCACCTGGCTGGAGTGTATTCTTATATAATGATAAATTCTTAAGATTATACAAGTCTATTCAGGTTAACAGAGACTGTCTTGGAAACGCATGTCTAACCATTATGTCTTTGCTAATTGTGTTCAACACCAGGCTTCTGAAAATTTTTTTTAAAGAAACAAAATATGTTTGATAAGATTTATAAATTCCTAAGGTCTCTTCAGGTTAGCAGAAACTGACTTGGAGATATATGTCTGGCCTGTTTGCCTTTGCTAATTTTGTCAACCTTTAGCTGTTTGGATAAACTGAGACAT